CATTTATTGATAAATCTATACCGAAGCTTGTAATAATAACTCATGACGTAGTTATTTAGAAACCCAAATTCTGAGAACTGAAATCTTTCTAACGTAAACCAAAACCCACCTCTTTGGTGAGCTGCCATAATGGATAAATGTCCACTTCGCTTATATCTCTGTTGCTGCTTGGATGCCATGTCGCTGTGCTGTCTTCCTATCGCAATAGTATTCAGAAATGTAAATATTCTAGAAATAGGCACGATTAGAAACTGTAACCACAAATGTGATTTTAAATGACAATGGAATTTAATCTGCCAAGTTTCCTATTCATTACGGATTAACATTCTTCTTCAATGGCCAGACAGCTCAGGTTTAAGTAACTAAAGTTACTTAAACTTTTAAGTTTTTGTTAAAAAGTTTTTGTTTATTAAAATCTTCATTTTTCTGCTAGTTTTTGTAAATTAAAATCTTCGTTTTTCTGTTAAAACGAAGTTTAGAAGAAGTTTTTAAACTTCTGTTAAACTTAGTTAGTAAAGTTTTTGTAAATTAAAATCTTCGTTTTTCTGCTAGTGAAGTTAGACTTCAAGTATTTTTTGAGACCGAAAAACATCTGTTAGCATCTGTGAATCTACTACGAATCTTTGGGCATTAAATCATTGAGAGTATTAACTTCTGATCCTAAATATTTAAATTTGCTAACAGTTTCAAATTTGTATTTCCCAATTTCAAAATAGGGACTGCTGTTATTACCACATGGCATGTATTTATTTTTATTTATTTATTTATTTATTTATTTATTTTTTTGATTGCTAGATGCATTTTGCTGGCTGCAGCCTCTAGAGATGTGAAAGCCTCTCTAAGTGACTCGGGAGTGCGTGCGATTATGTCAATATCGTCAGCAAACCCCAAAATCTGAACAGATTGGATTAACATTCTACGCAATCAAAATTCTTTCTATTAAGTACGACATCCACTTTCTACGCCATCAAAATTTGCTACTACGTCTTTTTATCCCCAGGATATAACGCGGAGAACCATCGTCAATCTGTTGCAGTTATATATAAATATATATATGTGTGTGTGTCATGATATGAATGATTTGGAACTTGGTAGCGTAATAGATGCCTAGCGAAGAAACTTGGCAAGACAGACATAGCCGGATTCAAGATAGTTTTATTATTGAGGAAAGCAATTCTGGATGGTGGTTCACACTTATGCGTCCTACATTTTTAGCTTAGAACATATTTCAGTGAACCAAGAAGGTAGCCGCAAAGCGTCTTGCCAGGAGGAAAGCGTAAGCGAAAGTGTCACAGCAATTCAGAGGAAGAAGGGAGTGAGTTCAAAAAGTTTCAGTTGGAGTTCAAAAAGTTTTGGTTTACAATTATGTAGTGATTGCGCAAGAGGTATCTGCATTAAGCGTTACGTAGGATGACATGATTAATTTGAATAACGCAGTTTAGACTATTTTTAAGATAAAGACACGAAGTCCCCAAATTAAATGAAAAATAAAAGAGGTTATAGCCAATTAAAATTTAAGGTTTGCTTTTATACTTTTTTTTATCTTATATATATATATATATATATATATATATATATACTCCCACATCCCTTACTCGGCTTAAACGCTTTACCCGGCCGTTATTTTTGCAATCGTTGGTCGTAATCACATACTTCAAATTTACAGAAGTGTTTGAAACGATGGAAATATTCTGGCCATGTCAAAGTTGAAAAAAAAAAAAAAAAAAAAAAAAAAAAAAAATTATTTTGGGGCAAATGACGAAATCTAACTTTTAATGCTGTCTCCCATTCCTATACTTATATTTGAGAAAGTTTTAATACTCGTGATAAAAAATACAAATACAAGAAATCTGACTCCAGGCGACAAAAATTGAGAGAGAGATTTAATTTTAAAACTTGCAGTTTTTTACATCATTTTGAACTTGCTTCGGCGCTCAAGCTGATTAGGCTAAAAAATTCGAGGAAATAAGTATCTTATTTCCTCGAGAAATAAGTATTTTCTTCCTTCACCTTCGCACGGGGTTCGTGTGGATTTGGAGTGAATAACGACGACAGCACTTGATGGAATATCAAAACACACTTTATTTACCAATATTAATCAGGACAGCTCCAAATCACTTTTACAATCGTCGAACTGTTATCAACACGCTGACACGTTCAGCAACACAGCGTTTAGGTTATCAAGCTATCACGGTGGAAGACAGCTTCACTACAAAGCACCAGAGTACAGCTCCCGACTCTGCTCGGTCGTTCTTGGAACTCCACGTACTCTCGAGACTCTCCACGCTACAACTCGAGATGCACTCGACGACACACAGAGCACAACTTCCGACTCTTCGGTTCAGTCGTTTTCAGAGCTTAATACACTCTCTCGACGATGCACTAACCGCGATACACTAAGAGACACTTCGATGCACTCGACCCACTCGGTACGCGCTGCGCGGTTGTCAACTCGATCGACTCCGCACGGACTGACTAAAGGCCCGTCCACACGAGTACGCTCGAAACGTAGCTGACGAACGCGCTTTTACGTTACCAGCGTCCAAACGAGTACGCTTGCGAAGAGTGCGTTTAACCAATAGAATTATTTTGCGCAAAAATCACGTGACGCTGTAATATAGCGTCAACAGAACTGTATCTTATTACTTCGCTGTTCTTCTGTATGTTTGCGGCAAGTTGTCCGAGTCAGATGATTTTTTTATAAGCTGAAACTTTACTATTATGTGCAATTATTAAGCAGAGGCAAAACCGCAAAAAATGGCAAGAATGAGTTCGAAAGATTTATTTAGAGCGACCTGTTCAAAGTGATTTTTTTTTTTTTTTTTTTTTTTTTTTTTTTTTTTTTTTACTGCTTTGTTTGCGAAAGGAATATCTGGAATTATTAAATTCCTACTATTAGCTCACACTCTCCCTATATCTTGTTCAAATTTTCAGTACATAAAATGCTTTTTATTCATCCACTTAAGTTCAAATACAATTTTTTAAACTTGCAGTGAATGACACTTGATGTTAATACAGCTTTTTCACATATTAAATTTTTTTAAATTAAAAAAATCATGTTTGTATTTTTATTTATTATTTTTGTATTTTTAAACTTTTCTTTGTGGACCTAAGTAGGAACTGACTTCATTTTTTTTTGGGGGGGGGAGGGAGTATATTACTTGTTTTTTAATTCCTCCAGGGTGAGTATCGACCAGTTTGACAGACTTGCAGATTCTATAGCGTATGAAATTAGGATTTATAAAATTGGTTTGGAATACAGTATATAAAGAGAATTAAATTACTTAATTCTCTTTATATACACCATCCACCATATAATAAAACCAACACTTCATATTTTTTTAACTCGCTCTTCCTTGGTCTTTTGTTTTTCTTTTTATTTGTTTTTGAATTTAGAATGAGGTTCAAACTTTGGACAGTTTATGAGAAATTATGTGCATGATAAAAAAATGCAATAAAGTAAAAATAAAGAGAGAATTTATAGATGATATATGATAAAGAGATGCAGATATAGTTTTACATAAGGATTTCTATTTGCACTGTGCACATTTTTAAACTAAATTTAAAAACAATAACAATAATGAATAAAATGAGAAATGAAAACAACAATAATAATAGGTAAAATAAGAATATAATGATACATGATATTAAATATAAGAAACACGTTTCAAAATGAAGAAAAGCTAACTTTGACTTATACAGTGGTTACGGGTGAGGTTCTAACTTGCCAACCTTTCCATTCCTCCGCCACCAGATCCAGTAGCGCTGACCACTTCAGCTATCTGTGATAGAATTGTTTTCAAGAGAAATAAAAGTAAGAAGTAGAAGTTACTGTAAAGGTAGTTTAATTAATACTTCAAATAAATGATTGCTATATGACCCAAGTTGTAACTTTCCTCCAAAGTTTTCGTAATTGTATTTATTGAATACTCTTTCACAGTCAACTGCTTTATTTTAGAAGTTATTATATTGCTGAAGTTAGTTTTTGGTGTATTTAATATTGGATAGCCAATATTTATAATAATTAAGGAGAATTTTCGAAGGCAGAAACTTTGATTTCGTAGAAACTGTAATTTATTTAGGTTCCTATTACTTACGGTGTTATAAATAGGTGAAGCATATATACAAGTGAAGCATAAGTATACAGTTTTCCCCTTTAATGAGAATTTTAAATGTATACTAATATGTACGGTTTGAGAAATCTGAAGATGGCGTGAATAATGCTGATTATTTTATTCCTGTATACAGTTATATTTCTAAGCAAAAACTCATCTGTGTGACTCTGACGCCATATTGAAACGGGTAAGCAAGAAGGTTTTCTGATTATGACACGTGATAAGAACTCGGTCAGCTATTGGCTATACGCGCTTTGCGAGCGAAAAAGCTGAACAGGAGCGTACTCAGTTTTACGTCTTCTGCGTCCTGCGAATTTACGCCGGCGTCAAAAAAGTTACGTCAACTACGTCGGGAGCGTCCTCGTGTGGACGGGCCTTAACTCGAGATTATCTCGCACTCTAGAAGAGGCACTCTCACTCGCCCTTTCGGCGAGGCACACATTCTAGATGACTGCGGACCAGCAGGATTTATATAGCTTTCGGCTTGTGTTCGAGGACATTCTAGGCTAAACCGGTAAGAATTCGTTCCAGAAGGTTCTCCATCCGTCCATGGTATATCGCTAATTTTGTCGCCAAATGAGCAAGTTCTTGCCAAAAATGCCAACCTTGTTTTCCTTGTTATTTTACGGCAACCCTAAAACTGCTTTGCGGGGAAGCCATCTTACCGCGCCTGTACATTTCGCAACAATATTAAATTGCACGCATTCAACGGACCAATCAATCTAACAATCAACCCAGACAATCTAATTTCCACATTTTCTTTTCCTCTTCTATTACATGCCTCACGCATTTAGCCCATTGCATAGGAGCCACCAAATCAATTCCTTTCTCAATCAATTAACGGACTTCGTTTTTTTCAGATGCTACATATCCTTTCACACTACTTCATATGAGTTCAATTGGGTACAATTCGCAATGATATGATGGTAAACGCAAAACAGTATGTCCGACTTGAGCAGCTACAACATCTATACGATGGAATTCAAATTGTTTTCGAAACTTAGAAACGAGAACTAAAAGTTCTGCTTTTAACATATCAGCTTCCCAAGGAATATTTTTTTCTGTCAAGCAAAGCTGAATGTCTGCTTTCCTTGTACTTGAAGAAGGAATGTTTTCAGACAAAACGCTGCTGTGATAAGACGCATTATCCAACACAGTTACACTGTTCGGTTGCAAGTTAGGCAGTAATTTTTTTTCAAACCAGTTTTCATAATATTCTGAATTCATTTCCCCGTGGTAATCTCCTTTCGCTTTCTTAGCTACGAATATATCACATGCTTCAGGAATAAATCCGTTTTCATTACCAGCATGAACAACTATACACCGAGAGCCTTTTCCTGAGGAAGCAATTAAACCTGTTGAAAGACCGCTCAAAAAGGCTCTCTTAGCACTTTTTATACTTGTGTCCTCCCAAATTTTGGTTTTAGAATGCCCAAAATTTACCCAAGTTTCATCGGTGTAATAAATTGTCCTGCCCTGTGAACGAAATTTTTTTATATCTCTTAGATATCTATGCCTCCAGCATTGAATATCGGCACGCTCAATCAAAATTGACTGGTGTTTTCGTTTTCTGTACGCAAATCCTAAATCATTCATAATTCGTCCTACTGTGCGAATGGACATATTTGGCAAATCAGCTTCATCATTTATAACTTTAGCCACTTTTTGCACAGTGGGAATTTCATTCCGTAAAAAAGAAACCATGAACTTCTTTCGTATTGTTGCTAAAGTTAACTCATCATATCATTTGATTCGGGTTTGCGTACCAACTTTCAGAGGTCGTTTCTTACCTGGAGTCGAACATCCTACATTTTCTTTCAATTCGGATTTCATGCGATTTATGCTTGTTACAGAAACGCCAGTCAAATCAGCAGCAAAAGTAACAATATTGATTTATTAGGAAAATGCTCCCGTAATTTGACAAAAGCAATCATAACGATAATCTTAGCTGCACTGCGCAATGGTTTTCCAGCTTTATGAGGCTGAAAATTAAACACGTTTGTCGAAGATGATGCAGACGCCATGATAACTGCTTTTTTTTTCTCCTTCCGGTCAGTGAATGAATGAATGCTTTAATTGCTTTTCTCATTGAGAGTGGGGGGAAGTCGGGAGTAGATAGAAAATGGGGGTTCACCTGCACGCGGTGTGCGGTGTGGGCGTGGTCGATGACGTCACACAGAGGGCGGGACCAAAGGCAACGTCATCACACTAGGAGGCGTGGTCACGAGTGGAGTTGAGGTGTTTTTAGATTGCTGATTGAGTTGTAGACCTCCTGCTTTTCATTTAAAGTTAGTTTTTTTTTAAATTGGCAACAGGAAATATTTTCTGCATCTTAATTTTGATGATATAGCGATGCTGCCCTCTATTAATGGAAAAAGTGAATTATATGTTTTAGAAATATATTTTTAAGTCTGGTGTTAAAATTATTCAATGCGCGACTCTGAAAACAATGTAAAAGAAACAAATATAAAAAAAAAAAGACTTTCCTTTAATGATAGTTCATCATGTATGAAAATGTAACTACAAGATAATTTTTTTTATTACTCAATTTTATTCTGATACTTTTATCCTTTCTAGTTTTCCATGAAACTTTAACTTATTTCTCAGGTTTTCTGTTTCATAATAACATATTCATTCATTACTGTCATATTTTTTTAATACTTAACGTTTCTAATTTTTGTAATATTTTATTTAATTTCCACATACTATTTTTTTTCATACCTTTCATAAATTTCAGCATACCCTGATTTTTAACTTATACGTTATATTTCACAAACGTTCCCGCACATGCTGTTTATTTGTTACATTACTTAATTTTAGATGCAATTTCACACTTTTTTTAACGTTATAATGTTCAATATATTCTGAATTTTAACTTCATTTACTTTTTTTAAACCATTCTAGTATTCTATACACACTTTAACTTAGTGGTATGAAATTGTATTTAAAAAGAAACGTTTATTTTTCGTGATCTTAGTTCTTTTACTAAATTTTCTACAGAATTTCTAATTTCTTTCACGTGTTTAACAATATCTTCCTTACATTACCGAATATTTTTTTAAAAAAAACTTAAGTCTATAACTGTTAATTGCTTTTCTTACGTTCATGATTTCCCTTCTGTGTTTATATTTCTTAATTCTAGTTTAACTTATTTATTATAATGTTTTTATTTCTGTCTCATCACTCGTAATTCCAACATTTTATCCCTTTTTATTCATTTTAACGATATGGATTGTTTTCATTTACTCCATATTCAAATATTTCCTTACAATTTTTAAAATACTTGTTTTATTCCTCGATCATAATAGATCATCTACAGGTTTTACTCAGAAATTTCCATTCACAACTTTACAGTTTAATACCATTTATATCTAAATGTATTTCTTTCTCATATAGTTTTATGGTCTTCAAAGTTTCTAACATCATGTTTAGTTTTAAATCCCGATTACCTTTAAGTGTGTTGATAATTTTCATTTCTAATTTTACAACCACGTTCAGTGTTTCATCCACACATACCAAAATATTTCTTACATTTTCTGATATTTAGTCTATGTCATATTTCAGTACTTCAAATGAATTTACACTGCTCACACTATTATTTTTTCATGTTTTAGAGACACTAACTATACTAATTTTACTATTTTTCCTGCACTAATTGCATCTATGTCAGCACTCATGATAAACTAGCAATTGTTTTGCATCACATGCATAAAGAAATTCTTAAAACCAACTTTTTCAATATCGTACTCAAATTACTGTTTTCCAGATGGGAATTACCAGTATTCTTTGGTTTTACTCTGTTACATCTTTTTAAATTTTAACATCTTACTTTTAATTCTAACATACATCTTTTGAACAGTTTTTTCTTTTAATGATAGCCTTACCTTATTTGTTCAAATTAATTCTTTCATTCACCTTCTTTACTACCTTTCAGTACCTTCATAATTCACTATGCAAACGCAATGTCTTTTCACTGACATTCTGTTTAATAATACCACAAGTTTCCTTAATTGACAAAAAGCGAATTATTTCTCATTTCAAAATAGAACTACTATATTTTTGCACAAACATTACCTTTATCCATTCAAGACCACCCTTAACCTGTAACTGACGTAGCGATAGGAAAGGAGATTCTTATCATATGCTCTTTCGACATTTGAGGTTTCTAGAACTTCTTTGACAAGTATATCAATACCATCAGAAAATATACTTAACACTTTTACCCAGTTTAAAGGCAACATACTGTTATAAGAATGGTTTTAGTTAAATTTATAACACAAATAAACACATTTTGTGCTAAATAGGCATAAACATTTAGATTCAGAATATTTCTTTTTAATCCGATGTAAGACTTGAATTTCATTCATGATACGGATTGTCTCTTGATTTTTTTTTGTTTACCTTACACTAATAGAAAATTTTTATTTTACAAGTTCAGCTTTTAACGAAATAGAAATAAAAACTACGATACACCTGCTGTTTTTAAGAAAAGGAACTTTGATATATTTCTGGAAATGTAAATGCTTTTAGAGTTTTTTTTTTCTTTCAATAACGTTGATTTTCATTACTTTACTAACTTTCAATAATTCTCTTATTAGCTAATATGAATGAAAGAAGATTGTCAAAAATGTGACACAGTATAATTCTTACGAACATACGTACCTTTACCAGCATACAGATATTACCGATTGAAATGAAGAAAGATACAGATATTTTACTCCAATCTACATTAAATTAAAAAAAATATTTAAACTTTCATACATTCCAAAGAATAAACGAAAACTCAATAGATATTGTCATGTTTGTATATATGAGATAAAAGTTTTATGAATGGTATTTAAAGTAATGCTTAGAACTTCATAAAAGCGAACATTCACTATGTTAATACACATATCATCAGTTATTTACATTAATCAATGTAATATTAATCATTACATGTACTATATGCATATATATTTAAAGTTTAATTGTCTTACAATTGAATAATTAACTATTGAGAGAAAGAGGTTCATATCTTACACTATTTAATTCACATGGAACAAATTTTTCCATCAACCACATTGAACCACGTTTATTAAATTCGCCAAAGCTCTTTTATTTCTGCATTTTCACACTCACGACACATTTTAAATGTAACTATTGATTACCATTTCAAACACCGATATCATAACTCAGTGTAAAAACTACATCATAACTCATTTTTTCCCTACTAACTACAATTTTATATATTCAAGAAGTACATCTAAGACATGATCATTTTCTATGTTCTAGCAAATCGATTCAATTGCGAACATACTATTAAGACTTGCGATTTTAGAAGACTTGCATGTATTAACGATGTCAACGTTTCTTCGTTTTTATAAGATTCACATCAAATCATGTCGCATTCGAATGTGGTGTAAGAGATCACTTTTTCTTTTAAACACTTGTAAACAATGGATGCAATTTATAAGAAGAGAAGTATCATGCTGTTTCAAAACATCATCATCAGCATATTTCTGTTTCTTTTGACACCGGCAAAATTTAAAAAAAAAAAAAAAAAGTTTCGTGAGATATTCTTCAAATTCTGTTTTACTTGAAAAAATGTCCGAACATTCAATACGATGTAAAGATTCATATTGTTTTAAATTCTTATGCTCACTAAATATTTTTTATCATGATTTACTCTTAAAAGTAACTTTATAAGTTTTCATATCCTTTTTACATGAAAAGAACTTGTGATTATTCACTACAAAATTCTAAGACGAGAAGCTTCGCGACTTTTCAAACTGTAAACATAAATTTCTTAGGACATACACTACATCTGATGTTTCTTTCATTAGATTTCAAATATCTCTTCAGATTACTCGCATTCAAGAAACCTTACAAATATATCACATAAGTAAAACTTCAGCGAATAAATCGCTTCATAAACTCTTAAATCTTCAACACGAGTGAATCACGTGAAGCATATACTGCAATGTAAACATACAATACTTAAAAAAATTGTTATAAAAAATAAAAAATACATTCATTTCACCAAGAAGCTTTTCTATTTAAATACATTTATTTATTTCCAAAGAACAAGTTTCTGTATTATACATAAAATATATATACTTAGAATTTTCTTTCATTAGTTAATATCAAATTAACAACAATATCCATTTACTGATATTTGATATACATGTTTGCTTTAAAATTAAAACTAAAATTTCAATATATTTCTATTAAAAAAAACATAAGGAAAAAAAAATACTCATAACATCAACCAAAGACAGAAAAAATTTAAATAGAATAGCTGTACTTATATTAGTGCATTTTTATAATCTTCATAACATTTCGATTCAAAAAACCTATTACAAAATAAATGAAACATTTTTTTCTGCCTTAAAGAATCTCTTATATTTTTAAAATTAATACATAAAAAATATATCTTCACCAATATATTTAATTCTATCCTCAACACTTATTATAATGCAATCATGTCTTGTTTGTGAAGGATGATTTACAATGCAACCTTCGCATTTAAATAGTTTTTTAATCACTGAATTTAATTCAGTTTTGATAGAGTTTATGAGTTCTTTAAAAAGTTCATCATCATCACTTACCATATCCGAACAATTGTTTTTACATTTGATTTGCAACGGTAAAAAAAATAATTTCAAAAATACTTTTATATAAAGTATTAGATACATCAGGAATAATTTCTTTCAATTTTTTTAAAA